GTAAGGGATATGCACATGGTTGTGCAATCAGCTTTCAGAACTCTTTTATGTTGTAGAACCAAAACTCTGCCCCCACAAAACAGCAGCTCCTCACTCCCTTCTCTCAGTCCCTGGCAGCCTCCACTGCACTTACTATCTATGAATATGACTCTTCCAGGAACCTCGTGGAAAGAGAATCCTACGTTATTTTACTTTTTATAGCTGATTTTTTTTAGCATGATTTTTTCAAGGTTCATCATATGGTAATGTGTGTCAGAATTTCTTTTTTTTTTACTTGAATCATATTCTACTGTACATATAGACAAGGTTTGTGTATTCATTCATGTGTTTGGAAATGCTTGGGTTAACACCTAGGTATAGAAGGAACATACTTTAAAATAGTAAATTCCATCTACAACAAACCCACAGCTAACATGTTGCTAAATGAACAGAAACTAGAAACATTTCTCCTAAAAACTGGAACAAGAAAAGGCTGCCCACTCTCACCCCTCTTGTTAAATATTGTGTTGGAACTCCTAGCTCAGGCAATTAGACAAAAGAAGGAAATCAGGGATATCCAGATAGGAAAAGAGGAAGTCAAGTTATCCCTCTTTGCTGATGATATGATCCTATACCTTGAAAATCCAAGAGAATCTGTCAAAAAGCTGCTTGCACTTATAAAGGACTTTGGCAAAGTCTCAGGGTACAAAATAAATGTGCAAAACACAGTTGCATTCCTATACACCAACAACAAGCAGGCAGAGACTCAAATAGAAAGCACAATCCCATTCACAATAGCTACCAAAAAAAATGAAATACCTCGGCATCTTCCTAACCAGAGAAGTGAAAGACCTTTACAATGAGAACACAAAACACTACTCAAAGAAATCCAAGAAGACACGAACAATTGGACATATATTCCATGCTCATGGATAGGAAGAATCAACATTGTTAAGATGTCCATCCTACCAAAGGCAATCTACAAATTCAACGCAATACCCATTAAGTTACCAACATCATTCTTCTCAGACCTGGAAATGACAATACAGAAATTTATATGGTAACATAAACGACCACGAATAACCAAAACAATCCTTAGCAAAAGAAATAAAGCAGGAGGTATCACACTTCCAGACTTTAAACTTTACTGTAAGGCTACAGTCATCAAAACAGCCTGGTACTGGTACAAGAACAGACACATAGACCAATGGAACAGGATAGAGATTCCGGAAGCAAAGCCTCAATTCCTCAACCAACTCATCTTTGACAAAGTCTCCAGCAACAACCACTGGGGAGAGGAGAACCTATTCAGTAAATGATGCTGGGAAAACTGGCTGACCACATGCAGAAGATTGAAACAGGGCCCGTACCTATCACCATACACAAAAAATTAACTCTAAATGTATCAAAGACCTAAATGTAAAACCTCAAACTATAAGAATCTTAGAAAACGCAAGAGACACCCTTATGGAAATTAGAACTGGGATCCAATTCCTATTCAGAACCTGAAAGATCGATACCTTAAGATATAAGATAGACAAGTAGGACCTCATCAAATTAACGAGCTTTTGCAAAGCAAAAGAAACTATCAAGAGAGCAGAGAGACAGCCCACAGAATGGGAAAAAAATATTTGCCAACTGTATATCAAACAAAGGCCTAACATCTAGGATCTACAAGGAACTCAAATGTGCCGAAAGGAAAAAAACAAACCAGTACCTTTAAAAAGTGGCAAAAGACATAAATAGATACTTCTAAAAAGAAGATATACGGGCAGCCAACAGACACATGAAAAAGTGCTCAGCCTAACTCGTCATCAGAGAAATGCAAATCAAAACCACATTGAGATACCACCTAACCCCTGTAAGAATGGTCATCATTAATAAAACAAGCAATAACAGTTGCTGGCGAGGATGTGAAGAAAAAAGAACGCTTCTATACTGCTGGTGGGAATGCAAACTAGTACAACCTCTTTGGAAGACAATGTGGCTATTTCTGAAATAACTAGAAGTCGACCTTCCATATGACCCAGCAATTCCCCTGTTGGGAATATACCCCGAGGAACTCAAATTATTCTACAAAAAAGATACTGCGCACATATGTTTGTTGTAGCTCTACTCACAATAGCAAAAGCATGGGACCAACCATGTTGCCCATCAAAGCTGGACTGGATAAAAAAAAACGTGGTAGCCGGGCTCGGTGGCTCAGCCTGTAATCCCGTGCCTTTGGGAGGCTGAGGTGAGTGAATTGCCTGAGCCCGCGGGTTCGAGACCCGCCTTGGCAGCGAGACCTCATCTCTACAATAAAATCAAAAAATCAGCCAGGCGTGGTAGCGCGCGCCTGTAATTCCGGCTACTCGGAAGGCTGAGGCGGAAGGCTGAGGCGGAAGGATCGCCGGAGCCCAGCAGGTCGAGGCTGCGGTGGCCGGGAGCGGCCACTGCACTCCGGTCTGGGCGACAGAGTGAGACTCCAACTCAAAAAAAAAAAAGTGGTACATATAAACAATGGAATATTATGCAGCCATAAAGAAAGACAAATATATGGACTTTGCAGCAACTTCTATGGATCTGGAGTCGATCATACTCAGTGATTTATCACAGAAACGAAGAACAGAGTTCCATATGTTCTCACTCATAAGTTGATCTTGAATTTATAATGCTATAAGAAAGCTATTGACAGTAGTGGGAAACTGTCAGGGAAGAGGGAGCAGGATTGGCAGTTGAGGGAAACTGCTAGGGGAGGGAGGGGCATACCTCATCAACAAGGGTACCTGCATGATCAATATTTATATACCTAACCCTGAATTGTACCCCGCATCTTTATAATAAAAAAAGAGACACTCTTGGGTTGTTTCTGCCTCTTGGTTATGGTCAATCATTCTGCCACAAACATTGATATGCCAATCCATTCAAGTCCCTTCTTTGTTTCCTTTGTGTGTAGAATCAGAAGTAGAATGATTGGATCTCATGTCGCTTCCATTATTATTTGAAGAAGTGACATTTGCACTATAAAGATTTACACCCAGGCATGTAAGCCTGTGGTAACGATAATCTGGAACACCTGTGGTCACCTGGAACTGTAGGTAGGCTTGATTCTGAGTTTCCCATATACCCAGACCCATGATCAACTTTAATTTATAAATTACGCATGGAAAAGATTGACAAGAGCTAATAATAAAATAGAACAAGAATAAAAATACGTTGTCAGTATTATTATTATATTATTATTATTTGAGTTGGAGTGTCACTCAGTCACCCAGGTTTGAGTGCAATGGCACTCTCACAGGCACTCCAGCGTGGACCTACTGGGCTCCAACGATCCTTCCGCCTCAGCCTTCCAAGTAGCTGTTAGCTACCATGCCCAGCTAACAATACATTATTATTAAAGGTATGTGAATGTAGACTTTCTCTCAGTCAAAACATCTAAGTGTTCTGTCCCTCAGGTAAGTGAAACTGCAGACATCAACGTCTCAGATAAGGGGGGATAACTACATAAATGTCATAACCTTTTATAATCGTTATAAGCTCAAAATCTCTCGTCTACATTCCTCTCTTGACCGCCAGCATTTCTATCCAAATGTCTTTGGGCTAGCATGTCAGGTGACCCTCAAATTAGCATCCTCCCTCAAAGCCCTCCTCTCTACAGTCCTCTATGGACACATCTCCTTCCTCCCAGGTGCTCAGGGAAACACTCTGGCATCATCCTTGCCCTACTGTTCCCAATACTTACCACAGCAATGAGAAAATATGGACACTTGACATTCTGCACACATCCCTCAACTGACCCTGCCTCCCTGGTTCGAGCCACTGCCCCTCTTTCTGGAGGATCCGCTGCTGTTGCCTCTGGGTGTGTCCACAACATCCCAGATCTGCTGCAGACTCTGAGCACTGCACTCGCTGTTCTCCCATTTCCTCTTTCTGGGAGACTTTCTCTGAGCCAGACACAGAGACTGCTTCCTCATCTCCTCCATATCTTTACCTAGACATCACCTCTTCACGCCACCAGAGGCAGAAACTCTCCAGTCTGTCACAAACTCCTTTTCCTGTGTGATTTTCCTCCAAATACCTTTTACCATCCCAAGGGCTTTCATTTTATTATTATTTATTCTGTTCTCCAGAATGACAATAACTTGACGACAGAGATATCTTTTGTTTCCTGTTTTAATTTTGGTAAAATATATGTGCCATAACATTTGCTATATTTGAAATTGTACAGGGTACAACTCAGTGGCATTAAACACTTTCACATTGATGTGCGGCCATCACCACCGTCTATTTCCTGAAATTTCTCATCACCCGGAATAGAAACTCTGCCCCCATTGCACAATGACACCCAATCCCTGCACTGTCCCCAATCTCTGGTCCCCATGCTACTTTTGTCCTCATGAATTGGCCCATTCTAGGTGGTTAAAAGAAGCAGAAATATACACTATTTGTTGCTATCTGTCTGGCTTATGCCACTTACTATATAATTTCAAATTTCGCCCATGTTGTAACAGACATCACAGTTGCATCCAATTCTTTGAGGCTGGAGAATATTCCATTTTATGGAAATAGAACCTTGTTTCTATCCACTCATTGGTCCATGGACACTTGGGTCTTCTTCACCTCTCAGCTTCTGTAAATAATGTTACAAATGACACTGGTGTGCATCTACCTGCGTAAGTCCTTGCTTTCAATCCCTTTGGGAAAATATTGAGGATGGAATACCTGGATGCTATGGTGATTCTATGCTTAATTTTTAAAGGGCAAACCAGGGGTTTTTAACAGCCTGCACCATTTTTCATGCTATGCATGAAGGCTTCCGTTTCTCCACAAACTTGCAAACAATTAGTTGTTTTGTTTTATCTTTTTTTGTTTTTATTTATTTCTTTTAAATAATGTGTGTGAAGTAGTATCTCCTTTGCAGTTTTGACTTGACTTTGTCAAATAACTACTGGTGTTGAGCTTCTTCTCACATGCTGTTTGAGCATTTGCACATCATGTAGAACAGAGTCCAGCAGGGGAGAGACTGTGCCCGGCCCTCAGTCCAGGTGGGGTGTTGGCACCTCACTCTCCAGCAATGGAGGGAAACATGGCTGTTCAGACAGGGGAGGACCTGGACAAGGAGGCGTCTGGAAGCACAGTCTAGAGGTCTGTGTTGGGAAGAGAGGGGGCAGGAGGGGAGGCGGGCTCAGTGACCAGGGAAGAGGTGAGGCCGCAGGAATGACCAGGGTCAGGATGGAGAAAAGGCACCAAGAGGAGACATGTTTAGGAGGAGGAATGAGAGTCAATGATGGACTGAATCTGGGGGAGGGAGGGAGTTCAAGGTGGAGAAAACACCCTGACTCTGACGATGGAGGTGAGGCCACCGTGTCATCAGTGGAATGGGAATCCCAGCAGAAGTGGGTCTGGGGAGGAGGATGGGTGGCTTAACAGTGGCCAGGCTGAGCACAGCAATCCTGAAGCCACCTGGGAGAGGGATCCAGAGGGATGCTGGACGGCAAGACACCTACGACGCTCACCTGAGAGATTAATCCTTGCAGTATTTCCATCCTCCATGCCCGTGGCTGCCCATGTCTCCTTCCTCCTGTGGCACTTCACCCTGAGAGAAGAAATCAGGGCCTGTCAGTAGACCAGATCAGGGTCAGAGGGTGGCAGAGTCATCTTCCTGTGTCTTATTAAGTGAGATAAAGTAAATGAGGTAGAGAGAGCAGTTCTGGCTCCCAGTTCCTCCTCGATGAGAACAGGAACCTCCCTACCCTGGACACTTGGCCAGAGTCAGGACAGACAACAATTGTCCCCTGTGGATTCTCACCACAGGTCAGGGTCTTGCCTGGCCTCAGCCCTCTTGACCCAACTGCTTTTTTCCAACAATGAGCCTAGAATTTAGCATCATATCCCCTCCCTCCCCACAGCTCCCCTTGATTCCCTGGGCAGTGCTTACGTGAGGAAGATAAGGCAGAGGCAGAGAAACAGAATCTTCACAGCCACCTCCCCGAGGGCCACCAGAGCCACCTCTGCCAGGGGCCCTGATTTCTCTACAAAATATGAGGTGAGGCTGATTCATCTGGTAAATATCAGTTCCAGGTCCTTCCTCTCTTTTGGCACTTGGAAATTGGGTTCTCCAGACCCTTTCTGCATCACTGAATATGGGGTTACTCCAGCCCTGTCCTCAACCCACCTCCCACCATGTGTGTCCAGCAGTAAATAGAAGGCTCAGCCCGCCGTGGCAATTCAGGCCTCACAGCTGCATGTGAGGCTGAGCTGAGCACACTCCTGTGCACTGCTGACCCTAGTGTGGGGCTTGCTTGTGGACCTGGGAGCTGAAGGTCATTGAGAAGGGGCTGGGGTTCAGCCCCTTGACACTCACTCTGCCTGGAGAGGCTCAGGGAGACATGTTGAGAGCCCAGAGGGTTCTGAGCTCGGCAAGTGAATTCTTCCTCATCCACAAGGTGCACTTGGGGCAGCTCCAGCACCCCAGGGCTCGAGGGCTGAGATGGGCTCAGTGTCAAGCTCTTCCGGTTCCAACTCAGCCTGGCAGGGGGATTGCTGTCGGTAGCACAGACCAGGCGCAGAGACTGACCCTCCAGGACTGAGAGAAATGAGCCATTTCTCAGGTCTGTAGCTGCTGTTGAGAAAGAGACAGAGTCAGATAGTCAGAGAGACAGAGTGAGGGAGGAAATATATAGAAAGGAGATAAGGAAGACCGACACACATACTCTGAAGGGCAGGAAACACACACTGTCACCTTTCCCTGCTGGGAACATCAACCTGTCCACCCTTCAGGAGAACAATTCAGCCACATCACTCAAAATTAGAGCAAACATAAGCCACAACTCTGTGGTGCTCTTAGGAACTAACTCCACTGACTTAGTATTTCCAAGTGAAAGAAGATACAAGATAATTCATTACAATGTTTCTGTGGTGGAATAAACTTAGTGCCGTGATGTCCCCGTAGAAGATGCCACAAACATCCTCCGAAATCCTTCAGGTGAACACACCAAAGCTCAGGGCAGCCTGGACAGACATGGGTCGATTCTAGGGAGGCAGATGGGAATCTTGGGACAGACTCTGCTCTGCGTTTTGGGTTTTAGCCCACGTGACTCCATTCCATCACCTGGAGATGTGAAGGAGTTAGATCAGAACTACGGGGACAAATAAGAGTCAAGGCAGAAGGCAAGGCCGGGAGATGAATGATGAGGTCCTCAAGGCTGGTCCTGCTGTGCGACTGTCACCCTGTCCTCGCGGGCCGAGGGGTGTGTGTGTGGAGAATTCTGAAGGGGTTAAAGGGTGGGTGGGGCAGATGCTCGGGGGCCACAGGGGCTGAGGGTGGGGAGGGGACCTGGGTTCAGCCACAGGGAGTCTCTAGTGACCAGTTGAGTCCAGGTGAGGAGGGGTCCTGCTCTGAGCTGAAGGCCCTGCTCCCCCTTTCAGAGAGGGTTCCATCTTACCTGTGTCATCTCCTCGGAAGACAGTCACAGTCAAGTTCTGAGGAGCATCTGGACAGAAAGACAGATTCACATCGCTGTGGGGGTGGTGGACACTGGCCCTCTCTCCCAGGAACTGCATAGTCGGGGAAGGTGGAGCCAGCATCCTCCTGACCCCCCACTCTTGCCTTGGACTCTGGGACCCAGCATCCCATGTCCAGCTCTGACCCCCATCCCTCTGCCCTCAGGGACTCCCCCCATCAGGGACCCAGGCATCCTGGCCCAGCTCTCACAGGACACATTGAGATGGATGGTCCTTGTCGTAGTTACATTGGCCCCAGGCAAGGTCACCTGACAGGTGAGGCTGGTGCCGTGGTCCTGTGGCTGTGGGATGAGGGTAAGCACCAAGGAAGCAGAGCTGGTGGGGTCCAGAGAGGATACGGAGGCCCCCATCCAGGAGATCATGGGGGGTTTCCCCTGATCACAGGTCCAGGGCACAGAGCAAGTCAGGTTCCCAGGGCGGCCAGACTCCAGGGTCCCCGGGATGATGTCGGGAGTCAGGGCTGGTGAGGAGAGGGGGAGACACACAGGATCAGGAGGGAGGTTCTGAGGTGGGCCCTGGTGAAACTCACACTCTAGTCCAGGTCCTCCCCTGAGCTAGGCCCACTTCGCCCCAACTCCCTCCCAGCAAAGGGGTCTCATCCTTCCCCTGTGGATCCCAGCCCTTACCTGGCACATGCAGAGAGAGCTGGTTAACCTTGTAATCCATATTTGGCCTGTAGTTCCATATTACCATTCCTCTCTCCAACCGAAAGAAATATATCCCCTGGTCCATCATCCTGACATCTCTAATGCTCAGAGAGCAGTTGTTGTACTGTGGGTCCCCAAGGAGGTGGAATCGACCCTGGGTCTCCTCCTGCACTTTTTGAGCTGGGTTGTTTGTGGTCACTGGAGCATCCCTGTCTGTATCAGCCCCTCCCCGGAACCAGTAGCCATAAACTGGGTCAGAGTCAGTCCAGTCGCCCTGGGGGTAGGAGAAAGAGCAGGGCACAGAGACACACAGGCCCTCCTGCACCATCACTGACTTCACTTTCAACTTGTAACCATCTCCAAATGGTCTCTGTCCCTGCCCCTGCACTCCCTCCATCCCCCAGAGCAGAGGCGGCAGCAGCAGCAGCATGTCTGGGGCGGGAGGTGCCAGGGCTGCCCGTGAAAGTCTGTTCCTCAGGGTCCTTCTTTCAGGAACTAAGAGCTCAAGACTCATGAGAGGCCCCACAGGAAGCTGGGGGTGAGGCCAGGACAGTGACTTCCTCAGAGGAGGAACTTCACACCCAGGTGCTGTCAGGGCCGGGTCAGCCCTCGGAGACCAACCATCCCCCACCCCACCCCCACTCCTGGAGACCCAGAGTGGGTGAGAGACTCACTCAAATTCACACCCCATCTTCTGCCTCCCTGTGGACATCTTCCTCTGGGATGACATTTTCTGCAAGATGAAAATAGGTCGCATCTAGCCAGACCCCTGAGGCTCCCCTGAGACCCTCA